CACCCCCCCCCCCATCTTAAAAACAAAAAGCACAAGTCTATATAAATATAAGATCTACAGATACTGACATTTGTGAAGAGAAGGTAGAAGAGGGAAGGCAACAGGGCTTCTAATTGCTCTGAGAGCAGGAGACCTTCTAAATCACTGACAGATATTCACTGGAGAACATCTTGAACAGTAACCGAAACTAGGAAGGGGTTCTAAAGGGCATGGGGATAGAGTTTGACAGCTTTTGAAATTAACAAAATAAAGTTCTAACACAAAGTTTAGGACTGAGGGGAAACTTCTAGGAGTAGAATCCATATTAAGCAAAACAGGGAAAAAGAAAAAGACAAAAAAGGAAGAGAAAGAGCAGAGCAGTAGATACCAGAAAGAATGAAGAGTTATGGTTGTTTTTTGTTTCTGTTTTAATCACTTTGCAAAAATTAGAAAAAAGAATTTCTAAAGCTATGACGATTAGAAAAGCCATCCTGGCCTCTACCCCTTGCCCCTAAAATTTCAAGAAAACTCGTTTTCCTTTGGAAATAAGTCTGACTCCATATGAAATTGCAACTAGCAAAAGATACAAGTAACAACAGAAAGAAGCAAAAAAACAGTCCTTCCAACAGTGAAAAGACCCGGAAAAAATATGCTCACAAAATAGCTGAAAAAACCTAAATGAGCTAAAAGAATTTAAGGAAATGAAAGAAGTTACCGAAAGTACAAATTCAAAGTAGAAAAATCTCAGAAATGAGGTGATTAGAGAAAAGGAGAATTTGAAAAGAGAAGTCACAGACCTCAGGAAAATAAAGTGGAAATAAGGAAAAAATATTTTAGAAATAAATATGAAACTAAAAAGAAATAAATAAGCATAACACATAATAATAAAGTAAAAAGACAAAGCAAAGCACAATTTGTCTATGTAGTGGAAAGAGGGAAGCTTTTTAAATAAAAAAAAAAGTACAAGAGATTGGGAAAATCTCATAAAATATGGGCAATGAAGAGCCAAGTTTTACGTGAACAAAGTCCTCAAGGAAGAAAATGGAACCCGTGGGACAGAAGGAAAACTTTCTCATTGTACTGGGGAAATCAACCCAGAATAGCCTAGTAAAACTGGTGGATTTTAAGGGGAAAAAAAATCATTTGAGCATCCACATTAAAAAAAAAAAAACCAAGCACCTAATCACTTATAAAGGAAGGAAAGTGGAGTATCACTAGACTTTGTGGCAGCTTGTTTAGAGTTGGAATGCTGTGGGTTAATATTTAAGAGAACCAATGAAGCAAAATATGAACCAAGAATTTTATATCCAGATAAATAGACCTCCAAGTATTTAAAGACTAGACAATGTAATACTAACATATAAGAATTCAGAAAATAGCCCTGACTGGTGCAGCTCAGTCTACTGAGCACAGGCCAGGGAACCGAAGAGTCATTGGTTCAATTCCCAGTCGGGGCACATGCCTGGGTTGCAGGCCCCCCAGTAGGGGATGCACAAGTGGCAACCCCACACACTGATGTTTCTTTCCCTCTCTTTCTCCCTCCCTTTCCCTCTCTCTAAAAATAAATAAATAACATCTTTAAATAAGTAAATAAAATATTTAAAAAAATTAATAAAATAGTGTTCACATGATCCCTTCCTATGGAATTCACTAGAGTTTCAAATAACTAAAAATGGCTAGAGAACCAGATTGTGGTATCCAAATACTAATTTCCCATTCAAAGAAACGAGCCCCTGGCTGGGTAGCTCAGTTCGTTAGAGCATTGTCCACATAGGCCAAGGTTGTAAATTTGATCTCTGCCATCAGGGCACATGCAAGAAGCAACCAATGAATATATGAGTAAGTGGAACAACAAATCAGTCTCTTCTCTCTTCCCTTTTTTCTCTCCCCCTTCCACCCTCACCTTCCTCTCTCTAAAGTCAATAAATAAATACTTAAAAAAGAAAAAAGAAACTAGGAATACTTGACAATAGCTGGCTCTAGACTTAGAGCAGGAAATTAATATTAAACATGGGATAGCTTGTGAGAGGATACAGAAGCCAACTTGATATTTCTCTATGGCCAAGTGTAGGACAGTTTGAGCATCAATAACGATAAGAATTTGCGGTGGATTGAAGTATCAAATATGTTTAAATCCATGAATTCGTGTTAATGCAAAGAAAACTGCAGAGGGGTGAGAACTATTTGAGGTGGTAGAAATATTCTGTATCTTGCTTGTATTAGTGGTTATACTACTTACTGTATTTGTATATGTTTGTCTAAACCATGGTTTCTCAACCTTAGCAATTTTGAACTGAATAATTCTTCATTTTGGGGGAGGAGCAGGTTGTCCTATTCATTATAGAATATTTATTAGCAGCACTAGATGCCAGACCTGACAATGAAAGATGTCTTCAGACACTGTCAGATATCTCTTGGGGAGCAAAATGGCCCCAGTTGAGAACCCTGTTCTAAATTTATTAAAAAGGTAAATTTTCATTGTTTGTAAATTATATCTCAATAAACTTGATTTTCAAGAATAATTTGGTGATTCATCACTTTTTTTTTAAAGATTTTTAAAATTTATTTTTAGAGAGGGAGAGAAAAATTAATGTGTTAGAGACACATTGATTGGTTGCTTCTTGCATGCCCCCAGTGTGCTGTGGGGACCTGGCTCACAGCTCAGGCATGTGCCCTGAGTGAGAATTAAACCGGTGATCTTTTGGTTTGCAGGCCGCACACAGTCCACGGATCCACACAAGCCAGGTTGTGTGTGTGTGTGTGTGCGCATGTGTGTTTAAATATACAGAAAGAGGAAGAAAAACACTGATTTGTTGTTCCACTTATTTGTATACATTTATCAGTTATTTCTTGTATTTCCCTAAGAATCAAATCCATATCTTTAGCATACTGGGGAGATGCTCTTAACCAACCAAGCTGCCTGGCCAAGGCTTGGCTGGTCACTCTTAATGGATTTTAGGAAACCAAGCCACTTTATTTTGAAAACTAGTAATTGACAGAATCAAGCATTTATCCTGTCTTTCCTACATTAACTGTATCTCAGGAGTAACCAAGTAGTCAAATAACGATGAATTTGGGGACTGTCTGTATGTATTTTTTGGTATTACATTTTGTCACTCCCAGTTGTCAGTTTTTCCTTCATTAAAAGTACAAATTTTCACCCTGTCTGGTATGGCTCAGTACAATGAGTACCAGCCTGCAAACCAAAGGGTCACCAGTTCAATTCCCAGTCAAGGCACAAGCCTAGGTTGCAGGCCATGTCCCCAGTTGGGGGTGTGTGAGAGGCAACAGTCAATGTGTCTCTCACACATAAGTGTTTCCCTCCCTGTCTCCTTCTTTCCTCTCTCTCTAAAAATAAATAAATACAATATTTAAAAAACAAAGAACTCTTAATCTCTCTTTTTTTATGTGCAAATTTTCTATTCCTTTTTCTCTACTTTTCTATGTCTAATTCACTTTGGACTAGGGAACAAGATTAATAAAATTATTATTTAGAAAGATATAGCACCATGTGTTATGAATCATCCATTTTTGTTACTAGAGATGTTTTTCTTTTTTGATCTGGCAGGGAATTGTGGGTACCTAATGTTCCTCATGAGTAAGTGGTATGTTACCAGTATTCTGTTTCAACATGGCTGAATACACAGACACTTTGTAGTCTGATATATATATATATATATATATATATATATACTTCTTTGGGTTAAATCTGTTGTGTAAAATGAAATGTGTTCAGAAAACTCAGTGTGTGCTTTATATAGGTATAGTTTTAAAATTTAGTATTACTGTATTAATACTTGCTGAATTAAAGAAAACATGTTCCCAATATCATTCCAGAGCACAGATGAATAGGGAAGTATATGGGAACCTTTTGAAAATTATGGAGGAGGTTTCTGTTTCACTCTATTTTAGTATTGACCAAGTTTTTTCAGAGAGAATAATAGGGTGTTTGACTTGACATGATGGTCTTCTTGAAAGTTCATGACTTCACACACTTTTTCACTTTGAGGAAACTGAAAAGGTGCTTAACTGCCATAACTATTTTAGAAACTGATGCCAAAGGCAATCACTGGATTGGGCAAGACCATCATTAAACTCTGCCTTTGGTTTACTAGTTATTTCATCATGGAAAGGGGAATCTTTAATTTATTTCATTGCTTAAGCAATGCCACATTTTTAAGATAAAGCTGTTCGTTTTCTTTTTTTGAATTTTATTTATTTATTTTTAGAGAGAGGTGAAGGGAGGGAGAAAAAGAGGGAGGGAAACACCAGTGTGTGGTTGCCTCTTGCATACCCCTTACTAGGGACCTGGCCCGCACCCCAGGCATGTACGCTGACTGGGAATCGAACCAGCAACCCTTTGATTCACAGGCAGGCACTCAATCCACTGACCCATACCAGCCAGGACTAATTTTTTAAATTAATTTATTTATTTATCTTTAGAAGGGAAGAGGAGAGAAATATCAATGTATGGTTGCTTCTGGTGCATCCCCTGGTGGGAACTGGCCCCTGCTGGGAACTAGCCTGCAACCCAGGCATGTGCCTTGATGGGGAATTGAACCACGATCTTTTTGGTTTGCAGGCCCGTGCTCAGTCCACTGAAGCTACACCAGCCAGGGCTCAGGGCTAAATTTTTAATAATAAAGCCAAATTGACCTTCAGAAAGGTTGTTCTAGTTTATGACCATCTATATATAAAAATACTTATTTTCCTATACCTTGCCAATTCTGTGCATTATTAGAGGTTTAAATTTTTTGTAATCTGAGAGGTGGGAAATTACAAAAGTCCAATATAAATAGAGCTGTATTTTAAAACTTGAATAAGATTGACCCAGTTTTCATGTATTTAGTTGACTCTTTGTATTTTCAGCAGTGATTCTTGAGATTTCAAGTACGGGTGATACAAGTGAATGTAACTTCAAAGCTGTGAAGAGATGGTGCTATAAATGTAGTCAGTGAGGTTCCTGCAGCTGTGATGACCTCTCCTATTTCCCACCTTGATTCTTTACTCTTTAATTTCAGGTGATCATGGAGCTCAGCTCGGCCTCCATGGGGCCAGTGGTGATGGAATACATGATGATGCAGCAGGAGGAGAGGAAGGAGAAAACAGCCCAGATCCCCAACCCCAGGCTGGTCGGAGGACCCGGCGGGAAGCATGCACCTGCCCCTACTGTAAAGACAGTGAAGGAAGGTAAGTTGACCCAGCCAGTATCTTAAGAGTAATGTAAAGAATTAAAAATTAATGGATTTAGAGGTGAGAAGAGGTTTTGTTTGTTTGTTTTAACATTGAAGACTTGGCAATATTGCAAAGCAATCAGAGATAGGGCAATATATTTGATTAGGTTATATTATAGGATCTTGGTTCCAGCTCTGATCCTTTCATCAGTTCTAAGACCATGGGCCTTAATAGATGCCTGCTTTCTCCTACAGATAAGGAAATTAGATGGAGCCAGCTGGTCTAATGATTATTACCATATGTCTGTTTTGAGATGGTTTTAACAAGGTTGCTTGTAAAACAGTTGTTGCAGAGAAAAAAATATACCTACACTAATGTGTTTTTACAGCCGCTGTCTGAGAATAAGAGTTTTCTTATCTTCCCTCAAAATAGACAAAAAATCCCCAGTCCAGGTAGAAAATTCTTCCATCAGGGGCTCTTAATGTGTCCTGCAGAACAAAGTTCTGATGATTTTCTCAGTAATAGTGCCTGCTATTCAATATTGTGTCTGGAGAGTTCCAAGTTCTGTTCTTTTCTTTCAAGTCACAGCTTTTGAGAGAATCAAAACTTAAATAGTGGTGTATGTGTCTTTGGGAGGGGGGTCTGTTCAAGTTTTTCCTAATAAAAGTAAGCACAAAAATAAGAAAAGTACCGAAAAAATCAATTGAATTATTTATAGGTTAGTCCTACATTACAGGAAAAACCTTAATTAAAAGCACTGAACTGGTATGCCTCAATAGATTGAGAATCGAAACACTTGGTTTGATTCTCAGCCAGGGCCCAAGCCTGGGTTGTGGGCCAGGTCCCCAATATGGGGCACGTGAGAGGCAGCCACACACTGATGTTTCTTCCTTCTCTTTTTCCCTCCCTTCTCTCTCTAAAAGTAAATAGATAAGTAAAAAAATTTTGTAAAGAAAGCACTGAGTACAATAGTGCTTCTCTCTAACAGAGCTTAAAGTAGATTTAAATTTCTGAAGGAACTTCTTTGATTCTCACCTAAATGTGATTTCATTTTCATTGTTTTTTTCTCTCTGCTAATATGTACTATTAAAACCCAAGAAAAGTTCCTCTTAGAAGTCTCCCCAATGTCTATTAATGGATGACACATGGAAAAATTTGGTTTAGCAAAAATGGTTCAGAGTTGAAATGATTCCTGAGAGAGAGGAACTTATGATCTGTTCTATATAGGGAATATTTTGGGTTTTTTTTTTTACAAACCTTGAATTAGTTAGGGTTCATACTGCTCTCTATTGACTTTTTTCAGCCCATTTTCCTCTTCCATTGAAGCCCCTGATAATTGGTCTGGCTTTTCAGATTTTAATCTTTACCATTTGGCTCTTGAGTTTCATTTTAGGACAGAAGTTCTATAGGTATAAAATATTTTCCTTAAAGTTCTTAACAAAGTGCTTAAATGGAGAGACCCTTTGTCATAAGCAAGTTCCTAGCCAAAAATACCACCATATGCACAGTAGTTTCTATGGAAAATGTATGTATTGAGACTTAAATTTTTTTTAACATTTTATAGTTTATTCAAATTATTTTGTATATAAATCCTCAAACATGAACGAGACTTAAATTTTTTTAAAAATAGAAGAAATCACATGAGAATGATTATTTCTTCAAACATCAAACATCAAAATTGAATAAGGAACAGGAAAACAGAAAAGAGCAAATGTCTGTTGAGAGGACACCTACAGCTTGAATTTTGGGTGGTAAGAACCAGAGTTGTGCCTTGGCTGGTGTGGCTCAGTGGCCTATGAACCAATTCCCAGCCAGGGCATATGCCTGGGTGGTAGGCCAGGTCCCTGGCTAGGGTCATGAGATGTATTTCTCTTACATCCGTGTTTCTCTCCATCTCTTTCTCTCTCCTTTCCTATGTCTCTAAAAAACAAATAAATAAAACATTAAAAACAAAAAAGAACCAGAGGCAACTGAGACTCTTTATCTTTTGGTAATAAAAAGAAGCCTTTAAAAAAGAAAGTTTGGGTTAGTTTTGAGTGGGTGGGGTAATTGCTGTTGACACTTTGTGGTTCTTTAATTTTTATCTATGGAATGAATGATGAGTAGTTGTGTTTTCACTTACAGAGGCTCTGGGGATCCTGGCAAAAAGAAGCAGCACATTTGCCACATTCAAGGCTGTGGCAAAGTATATGGCAAGACCTCACACTTAAGAGCACACTTGCGTTGGCATACAGGAGAGAGGCCATTCATGTGTACCTGGTCATACTGTGGGAAACGTTTCACACGTTCGGATGAGCTACAGAGGCACAAGCGCACACACACAGGTGAGTAGGAGCCTGGGGGAGAAGAAAATAGTAATAGATCAGAATAGAAAGGCACAAAGTGTATCTATGAAATTACTAAAAATTATGAGCAACTTATGTTTGGAACTAAATGTATGGATCACAGATGGAATTAGAGTTAATCTAGAAAACCTTTAAGAAGGAAGAAGCTGGGACCCTGGCTGGGTAGCTCAGTTGGTTAGAGCATTGTCCCAGCGCTCCAAAGTTGTGGGTTCAATCTCCGGCCAAGGCAAATACAAGAATCAACCAATGAATGCATAAATAAGTGGAACAACAAAATGATGTTTCTGTTTCTGTCTCTGTATCTCCTCCTCCCCCTTCCTCTCTCTCTAAAATCAGTTTTTAAAAATTAAAAAAAAAAGAGGATGGAACTAGGTTTTGAGTGGAATTTTGGAGGGTTCCATTATTCTTGTTAGTCTTAGTCCTGGTCACACTTTTCTGCTATATTCCTTCCTTTCTGGGACCAGGCATCCCTCCCTCCTTCCTTTTTTTTTTCTTTTTTATTTATTCCCGTCCTCCCAGAATACCAAATTTCCTTTGAAAGCAGGCCCTCTGTCTCTATTCTTAGTTATGTGGTTTGGGTGGGGTGACCCTACCCCCAGCTCTAGGAATGGGCCATGATTGGCTTAAACCAGTTGATGTATCCCTTCCCCACAGGATGTTTGGTTCAGGTGTGGACAATTAAGTTTGTCCAGGAAGAGTGAATATTGGAACTTGGGCTGGGAATGCAGGGCCACATATACTTTCTCCTTAGGTTTGTGGTGTGAAGGTGTATGACCAGGAACTGCTACTCCCCAACCCTTATCTATTTTTCTTCCTACAAAAAAACCTATCACCAGGTTTTTTTGCTTTTATCACCTTTCAAAACTGGGTTAATATTCTGCCTCATAAAGTTTGAAAGCAGTAATTGGACAAGGTATGCCCTACTTTCTGAGATGTTTGTTTTTTTATCTACTTTTTCTTTTTTTACTTAGGTGAGAAGAAATTTGCCTGCCCCGAGTGTCCCAAGCGCTTCATGAGGAGTGACCACCTGTCAAAGCATATCAAGACCCACCAGAATAAGAAGGGAGGCACAGGTGTAGCCCTGAGTGTGGGCACATTGCCCCTGGACAGTGGGGCAGGTTCAGAAGGCAGTGGTGCTGCCACTTCTTCAGCCCTTATTACCACCAATATGGTAGCCATGGAGGCCATCTGTCCAGAGGGTATTGCTCGTCTTGCCAACAGTGGCATCAACGTCATGCAGGTGGCGGATCTGCAGTCCATTAATATCAGTGGCAATGGCTTCTGAGATCAGGCCAGAGACACATGGGCTATACCCATTAACCCTGGGGTGCAAGGTAGCATGGGTCCAAGAGACATGTGGGAGAGAGAGCCATGAGGCATTAAAATGCATGGTGGTGGGAAGAATTGGGGAGGGATACAATAGAAAAGATGGGGTCCTGGCACTTACCTATATCATCAGTGCCTCCTTGCAGTGGGAAACATTAGTGAAAATTCTGTTGATGCCACCCTTTGATGAGAATTTGTTTGACCCCAGTTTCTTCTTATATTTCTTACCCAGCCTCCCTGTCCTGCGTTTCCCTTCTCAGCTCCCTCATGATGGATCCCCCCCTTTCCTAAAGCCATCATGCCTTGATAAATATATATGATCATTGAAATACTTTTTAACAAAAAACAGATTCTATATTATATATATATATATATATATTAAAAAAGATATATAGAGATGCATTTGCAGGGGTTGGCTGGGAGGAGGAAGGAGACCATTCTGTGACCAAAATACCTTGGTCATTTTTTTATATTGCCTTATTTCCTTATGGCTGAGCCTTATTGTGACACATCAAGCTTCTATAGATGTTGTCTTGGCTTCCCACTAGATTAAGCATCCATATGCCCTGCTTTTAGTTTATATATACATACATATTGTTTTTCTTAATTTTGTCTTTTTATTTGGGATCAGCTTCTTGCACTCCTTTCCTGACTCCATCCTTTCTGTCTCCCTTTCTCTCACCTGATTATTTCATGTTTGTAGAAGTGATCCCTGGATGAGGCACTTCTGTGAATCTTTTAAATTCTTCCGTACCAGCAGCAGAATGGAGAAACCTTGAAGCCCAGGATGATGCTTGAAGTAACTGTGTGTGGAGAAAGTGTTCAAAATACTGCTTACTGACGCAGGCACCCTCTTGGTGCTGGAGAGTCAAGGGCACCTCTCCATCAGCTGCTCTAAGCATCACGAGTCAGGAGTCTTTCTATATAATTGTACAAGAGATCCTGTGAAGATTATAATCTGGGATCAGTTGTATAAATTATCAAAAGATGGTCAGATCATAGGTGGGGGCTTTCAATAAGAAAATGATGTGCTCAGAAACAGAAGTGACTCAGTAGTCCAGTTCAGGAGCTGGTGGAGTATTTGGACTTCTGTACATCTGTCTTCCAAGGTGGCTCAAAGCTTTGATTTTACATAAGCTTCTGAGTTCACATTGTGAAAGGAAGTATGCTTCCTCTTTTGAACATCCCCAGTAGTGTCTTTCCCATTATGTTATTAAGGAGCATCAGGCAATGAATCTCTTCCAGGTTTCCATTCTGCAGAACTCCAGAGCATGGACTAGTGGCAAGACAGTGGTCCTTTGATCTTTTCCCTTATCTCTTCCTTGGGTGGTTCCTAAGGAAAAAGGAAGCACATGATCGTGGGAACAATAGCCCAGAACAAAAACCACTGTTGTTTATGGGAGAGATTGGGAGAAACCATCTTTTCTTGGTGGCCTAATTCCTGAAGAGACTGATCCAAAAATTATAGCGGCAGGGAACTCTTAGTGCATTTGGCACTGAGATTTAAATGCAACCAGAGTTGTCCTCAAGGCCCAGCCATTAAAACATCTGCTCTCTTGACCTTCTGGTATCTTGTCAGAGGGCTTTTCACTGTGAGGAAGTGTGGAAATGGCTGCGTGTATGTGTGTAATCTGTTAGGTTGGGGATAGGTTTTCTGTTAGCCATTTACTAAAAGAGACCTGCAATAAAAAATTACCCTGATCTGATAGTGAAGTGTTTGTGTATGACTGTGTGTGTGTATGTGTTCGTGCCTGTATATATCTACACACAGATGAGAATTATATTTAACATTGTTGAAAAATAAATTCAGATCAAAATGGCTTTCAGGCCCATTACCTAGAAATCTCTTAAAATCTAGGTATGTTCCTGAGGTCATTTCTTTGCTTATGCTAAATTAGTTACAATTATGAATGGGGGATATTTTTTTAATATATTTTATTGATTATGCTATTACAGTTGTCCCAATTTTTCCCCCTTTGTCCCCCTCCACCCGGTACCCCCAGTCCCTCCAGCAGTCTCCCCCAACCTTAGTTCATGTCCATGGGTCATGCACGTAAGTTCTTTGGCTACTCCATTTCCTATACTGTTTTTAACATCTGAATGGGGGATATTCTACTGCACTTTTAAAAGAAGAAACTATTTTTGTGTTTGAAGGTGAAACCATCTATTGCAGAATCCTAGTTCCTTTCATAAATTTTTTTACCTTGACTACAAACAGATGATGCTATGATTCTACTATATATTTTATATAAAATCTATCCAAATTAGGGTTTGGGTAAATTTATGTTATTTAACCTGAAGTACAATAACTGTTAACATTCTAAACAGAGTCCACTCCACTTTGTCCTTTCTCCACAGACTTAATACTGTTTTAACACTCAGGAACCATTGCAAGGAACTTTCTCCAGATCAAATTAATACTAAAGTAAATGTCATCCGAGCCCAGCTGTATGTCACAACCCTTTATTCCCTGAGAGGCTGAACTCAAGAGCCTGTTTTATGGCTGTAATCATGTACATAGACATCTTTTGGAGGAAAGAGGCAGAATAACTCACTGGAGTTTGTAGTATTTTGCTAGAGCGTTCGAAGGAATGGAATCTTCCCCAGTATGAAATTATTAAACTAGCTTACTGAAGCTGAGGACTACAAGCTTTTAGGATGTTATTTTAATGATGTTTCTCTCTGGCATGGAATGTTGGTTTACCTTCTACCCCTTTCATTAGCATTAATATTAGTGAATTTATATCTAATTCTTTCCACTTGCCCTATTTTCTTCTCACCAAAGAAGCTCCAGACCCTGTATCTTGTTGGGCCCCCAAACTGAAGCCATTTTTGCTTTTGTCCCCCAGCAGCAGTGAGCCAGTCTTTTCCACAGGAAGTTCGGAGCCTACATTCTTTGAGTCAGGAGCTATTGCTGAAAATCCCTTTTTTTGAACTTTGGTCAGCAGAAATTAGTGTAACTGACAGGCATATTGATTCTAAATTTTTTTTACATGAGTTCTTTTTTTAATTAAAAAAAAAATGACCAAACCTTGGAGAGGAGTGGTAATATTAAAGCACTCATTCCCTTGTTCTTTCAGGTTGCCCATTCACTTTCATTTGCTTGTCATTTGACTGTCTCCCTTTGCACCCGGATCAGTAACAACCCACACCATCCTCCTTCAGGGACCTCCCAGTCAACACTGTGTGGGTGCTATGCAGAATTAAATTTAATGGATATTTCTCAGCCTGGTTCAGAATAATAGAACCCTTGATCCCAGAAAGAATAGACTGCAGTATGGAGTAAAGATTATGATCAGGGGAGGGTTAGAGACAAAAGCTGTAAATTACTATGGCTGGTTGATTTTTTCTACTATATACATATATATATATATTTTTTTGCTTTTGTATATCCTACATAGGAAACTAAGCATTGTATTTTTTTAACAAATCTGAGAAAGCACTATGAACTGCAGATGTTTGACTTTCAGAATATATTTTGTATTACTATCTTCACATTGTGTGAATACTGGAAGCTGCAGATCTTTGCTAGGATGCAATAAATTTATATACTTTTTGAGGGGTTCTGGGGGTATTAATCAAGCCCCTGTTATGTTTTGAGGGAGCTCTGGTGCTACTTGCTTAAAGTTTTCATTCAATTGTCAGTACCCTGTTGCCTTTTGGACCTTGGGATCAGATCAGACGAGTTTTGGAGATCCGGGTACCAAGGAAATGAAGATAGTCTAGCTGCCTCGAGTGAGGTGCCCTTTGCATAGCTCTCCTTCCCCCTATTCAAAAGCTGGGTAGCCTCTTGGGGTTGGGAGGGAAAATGTGAAATCTCAGAGTTTCATCTCCCTTAGAAGAGAGCCGGTAACTTATGTGCAAGGATCAAAGGTGGCAGCAGTAGCTTTGGGGAAAGGGAGGAGGACATGGCACTTCTCCAACCCCGGAAAACTGCTTTTGAAAACTGCTGATAAAATATGGGCAGGTTGCTTTACTTTTGTTTGGGAGCCTGTGCTCTCTCTCGTGCCTCTCTTGGCTCTCCTCCTGGGGTACCGACCTCTTCTGGGAGGATGAGCAGACCAACTTTGAGGTTGACCTGTTTTTTTTTCTTTGTCTGCCTTCCCTAAACACCACCCCCCAGGAAGACATTAAGCAGTCTGAAACTTAAATTCCTACTCTCCCAGATTTGGCTCACTTGCCTTATATTTGAAGACTGGGAAAGGAAAAAAAGGGGTGTCCCTGGATTCATTCCTCCCCTATGTCTTCTCCAACTTTGATTTCCAAAATTCAAATAGATTTCTTCCACAAAGTTCATTTGAGAGAAATGAGTATTTTGTCCCATTTTTCCCTTTCCTCATCAAACAACTCCAGCCCACCTTGTATCTGCTAGGTGAGAGGAGATGTGATTTGTCCCTCAACTTCCTTCAGTATCAGGAAGAATGCATAACAAATTGGGTTAAGCTGGGGCTGCAGGTAGTGATGACTGTTGATACCTCTCCTGGGGTGTGTGTTTCTCTCACCTTCAGGAATGACACTGTGCCTTCTCCACAATGGAATGGGCTTTGTTTGCTCAGCCCTCCAGTTTCCCAGCAACTGCTCTTGAACAGTGGACAAGGGCAGGTCCTCATACTTCTTATAACCCCATTCTTCCAATGGCATCCTGTAGCCCTCACCTGGAATCTAGGGCTCAAGACTTTGGGGTAAGATGGGGAAAATATGCTGGGATTGACCTGAGTATTCCCCTTCTACAGCTGCTGATAGCAGGTGCCCTAGGGCTTGCTTCCTCTTCCTGAGTCTGTCATCCTTGGAGGGAAGGGGGAGTTGCTCCAGCCTCTGGTGCCTAAAACAACTTTATTTCTCTCTCTTAACTTGCAGTAACCAGTCGTCATACCACTGTTGCCTTTTTAAACCTCTTAATAATTCATACTGTGTTGTTGGTTCCAATCCGATTATCACCAGGGCTGTGTGGAGAAATACTTTTACATGCTCCCTCATCTTGGTCTCCCAACCCCTCCCCATTCTGTATGTATGACGCTAATCTCTTGTCTTTCAGTTTCTTCCTGCTCTTTTGTATCTTTCTGGTGTCTCCTACCTTTTGTGTCTGGGTGTTTGGGGGCGCTTTTTTTTTTTTGCCTTTTTGTACAAAGATTAGTTTCAATGTAGTCTGTAGCTCCTTTGTAAACCAATTAAAATTTTTTTAATAAAAAGGTATGTCTCTGGTGTGTTGAGAAGGTTGGGAATGGGGAGAACATGCCTGTGACTTCATGTACTGAACCCAGGAAAGGTTTCCAGCTACATCATTGAGCTCCTGTACATATTGATCAGTACAGTTGCCCTACACTTAACTCCCAGGTAAATGGTGTCATGACCTGATCAGGGTGCTGTGACTTCACAGAAATGTGGAGGTCCAAGAGAAAGAGGCCCACCAACTTTTTCAATAAGCTTTTTTACTTTGGAATACTTTTATTTTTTTTTTAAGATTTTATTTATTTTTAGAGAGGAGAGAAGGGAGGGAATTGAGTGGGGGAGAGAAACACTGGTCTGTTGCCTCTCATATGCACCCTGATCACACCCTAACTAGGGACCAAACCTGCAGCCCAGGTGTGTGCCCTGACTGGGAATTGAACAGGCGACCTTGTGCTTTGTGGGACAATGCCCAACAAACAGAGCCACGCCAGTCAGAGCAGTTTCAGGGGATACTTTTAAAGGAAAGTTGCAGAGAGAGTACAAAAAGCTCCTATATATCCCCTTCCCCAGTTTTCCCCATTGTTCATGTTACCATAGTACATTGTCAAAAGTAAGAAACTGGCGTTGGTGTATTACATTAGCTAAACCCCAGGCTCTCTGAATTTCACTAGTTTTCCTGAAGTTGTCTGCTTTCTGTTCTAGAATCCATTCCAGGATACCACGTTGCATTTAGTTGAAATGTCTCCCCAGTCTCCTCTAGTCTGTGACAGTTTTTGTTTTTCATAACCAGGACAGTCTTCATGAGTATTGCCTAGGTGTCTTGTAGAATGTCCCCAGGTCTGAATTTGTCTGGTGTTTTTTTTTTCTTTCTTTCATTATTAGCCTGACCTTACGGGTTTCTGGGGAATACCACCCAGGTGAAATGTCCTCATCACATCCTATCAAGGGGTATGTGATAGCCCATAACGTTACTGGTGGTAGCCCTTATCACTTGGTTAAGGTAGTGTTTGCTAGGTTTATCCAGTTTCTCTTTCCCTATTATTTGTGTGCTCATCAATAAATCTATCCTGCCTTTAATGCAAATTAAGCTTCCTCAATGTAGCTATATAATATACTTAAAATTCTGTGAGGAAATTATGTCTTCCCCATTAGTTTATATTACATGTACTTTAAAAAAATACATGTACCTAACTTAAATACTAGGTAAATTTCTTTTATAGTTTGTTATAATCCAATACTACATTATATTTTGTTGCTCAAATTGTCCCAGCTTGAGCCATTGCAAGCTCTCTCAGGTTGGCTCCTGTGTCCCCTTGATATGTCTACACCCTTTTAATTTTTCTGAGCACTTTCTCAGGTTCTGATAAACAAGTTGCTTCAGGCTCAACTTGTATTTTCCCTGCCTCAGCCCTAGAATCGGACATTTCTCCTTGGCTCTTTTTATTTGGAGAATTGTATTTGGGAACCAAGGTCTAGCCCTAAAGTATTTTACATTCAGTTAATACCCGCCTGTGTCAACATGATTGAATCTGGATTGTGGCCCCTTCTGAAACAAATTTTTGACAGCCATTCTAATTTTCCATTAGCCTGCAGCTTCTTTTCCTTTTCCTATCTAAGAATCCTTGATCAACTCTTTATACTCTCAACACTCCTGATTGTTTTGCTCATCCTGTGCCTGCTTTGTCAATCACTGAGCTATGAGTAAACTCAGCTATTTGATTTCCGTATGTAGCCATCGGTAATGTAACATTTTAACTATTGGAGGCGGAGTATTGTTTTTGGATTTGGTTTTGTTTTATACCCTAAAATGGGTCTTCTTTAATAGTAGTGCCATCTATTCATTCAATAAACATTGAGCCTTTACTGTGTGCTGGGTACTAAGCTAAGTTGGAGATAAAATATAAAACAGGTCCTGCAACCAAGTACTTCGTAGTCTGGCAAGTGAAACTGATGCCATTAATTGCAATACTGACTCCATTTTTTTTCAGCAGATGATTCGATTCCTATTTTATGCAGAAAACAGAAGCATGAATTTCCTCAAACTTCCCTCTCCTGTCCCTACAAACACCAATGTATTCAGCTTTTTAGGAAAAAACATTTTTTCTTCGGAAGCTGAACCTTGTCACTTGCACTCGTTTTTTTAGACTTCTATTTCTTTGTTTTCATATTTTCTCCTTTTATCTTCAGTCTTGCCTGGGTTCTCTTGTCAGACTATCAGCACGTTAAAATCACTTCCCTCCATTTTGAAAAGCCTCTGCCTCCCCTTCAAACTACTGATCTAGTTCTTTTCTTTCCCAAAATAGTTTACACTCAATTTTACTCTTCTTATATTGACTCCTCAGGCCATTTGCTCAGCTCTCATTGTTTACCAAAGTGTTTCTTTTTTTTTTAAGATTTAAAAAATATGTATTTTCCGAGAGATGGGAAGGGAGAGAGAATGAGGGAGAAAAACCTCCATGTGTGAAAGATATGCAATGATCCCTTGCCTCTCACAGGCCCCCAAAGGGAGAAAAGGGGACCTGACCTGCAACCCAAGCATGTACCCTGACCTTGAATCAAACCTGTGACCTTTTAGTTCGCAGGCCAGCACTCAGTCTACTGAGCCACACCAACCAGGGCTTAAGTTTATTTATTTTTAGGGAGGGGGAAGGGAAAAAGAGGGAGAGAAACATCAATTGGTTGCCTCTCACATGTGCTGCAACCAGGGATGGCCCTGCAACCCAAGCATATGCCCCGACCAGGAATCGAACCAGTAACCCTTTGGTTTGCAGGCCAGTGCTTGATCCACTGATCCACACCAGCCAGGGCTGGGCATTTTCATCTGGATATCCCATGGATAACTCAAACTCAACATATAAGAAGAGGAAATAACCCTTGTGTTCCTCATCTTGCTTAACAGTATTACTGTCCCTTGAGCCCTTGTACTTGAAATCTCAGAATCATCTTTTCAATTCTCCCTTTCATCTCTCAACATTCATTATCAATCCTGTTAATACCAATACAATGTACCTAATGTTTTTCCTTTCTTTTTATTTTATTTTATTTTTTATTTCCACTGTCCTGGCACCTTAGCTTAGATCTTGTAACAGATCTTGCTTCCAGCCCCTCTGAGCTCCAGTCATCTATGTTCCACATTGCTACCAGAGCCCTTCGTAAAATCCTTTGCTCTTAGGAAAAGTCTAAGCTCCTTGATGATGGAATTGAAACCTTTCCAATTTGGTCTCAGTCTATCTCTAGGGTGATTTTCTGCTTAAATCTCATATACCTTTCTCCCACTCACACACCCTCTGCCCCCAATGCTATACTTTGTGTTCATACCTCTGTGTGTTTATTCTTGCTGTTCTTTTTGCCTAGAATAATCACCCTCCTTTTACCTGTTTTCAGTGTGTTTACTTTTGAGATGATTTAAAGATTCCTTTCTCTGTGAAACGCTCTGGGCACCTTTCTTCCCTTATCTTTTATGCCCTGGACAGAATTAGCTTATTTGATCTTTCTGCTTATATAGCTGCTTATTTAGCTGCTTGTTCATACTCTTGGTCTGATACATAATTTTCTGGTTGCTTATTGATTTATCTTCTTGCCTTTTTAGACTGACCCCTTGAAAGGCAGGAATTACATTATCACTATAGGCCCAGCACCTAATGTAATACCATAAGACTGGGGCCTAGTAGATATTTTTTAAGTTGAATGAATAAACAACTCACTTTAGCCTTATAATCAGTGGGGTCAAAGCTCAATTATCGGGGCACTGCAGGCTTTAATCAGGGGATTCTGATGAAGATCTTTGTGTATTCAGGAAGCCTTTATTCCTACCTTGAAGTCCTTTCTCGGGACTTTCCTAATCCCTTAGCTTTCAGATTTTTACTTTTTCTATCACCATTTCAACTCTAAACTCTGCCCAGAGCAGGTATACTTCCCATAAACCTGACTGGAATGTTTATCTTTGAGACAAGTAGTTATCCAAGGCTTTGAGCGAGGAAACTCTGCCTTTCTGCCTGATCCTTACCTTGCTCCCTGCTGAAGGAGATAAGTCTCCTGAGACACTCCAGACACGAGAAGTTATTTGACCTTCAGTTCCTCCCCCACTCTTCTGTTCAGCCCCAGACTTATCTGATCTGAGAGCTGGTGAAGGAAGATAGTTATAACCAAGTACATTCCAGCCATCTAACTGGCTGGGTCCTACAGACTCCCAGAACGGCCCAAAAAGAGATGGGCAACTGTCTGTCTGCCTCTAGTCCTCATCATCACTCCAGCTTTGGCTTCACAACTACTGAACTTTTACTTCATTTAGTCTCCCCAGGAGAAAAAAAGGCTCCAGAATCAAAGAATCAATACCCAGACCTTCATCCCTTGTCTAAGCCAGATCATTCCAAGAAAGGGCTTCCAGGCAGCCACCAGGGGGACAGAATGCCAGGGAAACAAGGAACTGGTCCCGGTGACTCTAATTCTCAGGAGCCAGTTGCTCATACCAGCGGAAATGATTACTGCAGTTTTTGAGTCTGGTGGAGTTGGACTCCTGTCTCTATTGCAGCACAAACCATAGTTCTCTCCTTCCATGTCTTGCTGACATTCCCTCTACACACCCTGTGCCTTCCCTTTACATTTTTACAGTTCCTGAAACTGAATAGATACAGGAGGTGTACTATGTATGTTTGTCGTCAAAAGTGGCTCTTGCTGTCCTCTCCCTGTGCCCTGAGTTTCTCCTATGTCTGCTGACCTCTGGTGGTGGTAGCTTGAACTGTACCCTCCCTTTCTAGTTAGTGACCTGCTGGCAGGTAATGGTGTATTTTTTTTCTCAACAATACAAATTCAAATACTGTATTACATGGGAATACTTATCGCTGAGTTTTGTATTTATTTTTGGGCTTTTCAGCCATTAAAAGTGAAAGTAATAATAACTAGTTCAATGGAAGAATTAGATAAGGCGATTGTAAAATGTATAGCCCTAGCTGTGTCCTACAACATAGGTGCTCAATAAAAGTTTGTTGCCTTCTTGATAATAGTGACTTGTTCAGTGTGTGACTCAAAGTGATTTTAGAAATTCTGGTAACATAAAATTTACCATTATACCATTTCAGTGTGATTTTTTTTTTTTTTAATTCGGAGAAATTTTACATAACTGATTTCTGATTCTTTAGTTTGGAAAATGAGGTCAACTCTAGTGTGGACTGTGAAGCCTGTCTCTGCTGAGGGAGCTGTAGATCTGAGACCTGATAATGGTTAGAAGGTATCTTGGGCACAGCTGAATGGCTTTGTGTACTTGACCTCACTTTGGTTTCCTGGCTGACAGGACCCAGTACTTTCTTCCAGGGTTAGCAAAGGGCAGAGGTTTGAAGTTAGGCATCACTGGGTTCTCAGCTGGGCCTCCAAGCCCCCCTTCTCCCACTTTGCAAAGAAAAGAGGAGGTGGCTGAACAGAGGAGGATATGAGATTGGTTCTCTGCTCCTCCCTCTCCATGCTTTTCCCCACACCCATCCTCTCCCCCACAACAGCCGTCTCCCCCACAGAGACGGGGAAGAGGGAGGAGGGCGGAGTTGGGGACTGAGGGATCAGAAGCCCCACAGTGCCCTGTATCTAAAGGAAGCTATGGCCAGGGGCAGCTGTGCTGGCTCACGCTCCCCACCTCCTACTGCTGCCTCCTTCAAAATGATGCTGGGTACTCTGGGGCTTTGGGTTCTGTTTCCCACAGCTGTGCAAGGTAAGTGTCTACAGAGAGGTGCACTGTCTTTCCATTCACCCAATGAGGAAAAGGGGCACTTGAAGCAGCAGCCACCCCTTTGGAAGGGTGGTAAGTGGAGTGGGTGAGTGAGGGTGAAGGGTAGAGTCATGTGTCCCCATGGAGGGGGTCAGGTTCCAGGCCTCTGCTGACACTCTCCTCATGTGGCTTTACCATGCTGGCCCTGGGATATGAAATATGTTTTGTCTCTCTTTGTGGCTGCTGTTTTAGCCTGGGCATTCACTCTCATCTTGAACCCTCCTCCCTCCCCACCTTGGGCCACAGCACCCCCAAGCAGGCGGACATGTGTGTTCTTTGAGGCCCCCGGAGTTCGGGGAAGCACAAAGACACTGGGGAAGCTGCTAGATGCAGGACCGGGTCCCCCCAGGGTTATCCGCTGCCTCTACAGCCGTTGCTGCTTTGGGATCTGGAACCTGACCCGGGACCTGGCACAGGTGGAGATGCAAGGTGAATGGCAAAGTATATGGCAGGTGATAGCTAGGGTGGGAGGCAGGTACACCCTGGGTTGAGGGTGGCAGCTGAGGGAGAGGAGGAGAAATGGAATGTGTGGAGGGAAAGAAAAGCCCATATGCAATAAAAGGGATGCCTCTGAGAAGTGATTTATCCTCTCATCCCCAGACCCCATTATGCTCGCTCCATCATGTGTGTTCTCTCTCGTTCATTTTTTTTTCTCTCTATCTCTCTCTCTTGCTCTCTCACTTAATCCTCCTCTCCTAATCTGACCCTATCAGGATGCCGAGACAGTGATGAGCCAGGCTGTGATTCCCCCCGGTGTGACCCAAGCCCCCGAGCTCAGCCTAGCCCCAGCTCCACTCTCTTCACCTGCTCCTGTGGCACTGACTTCTGCAATGCCAATTATAGCCATCTACCTCCTCTGGGGAGCCCTGGGACTTCTGGCTTCCAGGGTCTCCAGGCCATCTCAGGTAGCCCCCTGGGGTGCTGAATCAGGGTGAGGGCTGGGGCCCAGGTTAGGATGAGAGGTAGAACCAGGGCCAGTTCTCACCCCTACCCCCATCCCAAGCTTCATTCCTCCTGGCCTTGAGAAGTTGGTTGCCCTGGTGACTGGGAGATAACAGGGCTTGTGACCAGGGTGGGGGTGGGTTGAGAAGCAAGATCTCTGAGGAGGGGGAGAGGAACAGAGAGAGGATTTGGGGCAGGGCTCATTCTTCCTGCATTCTTGCCTTAATGCCCAGGCAAGTCCATCTGGATGGTGCTGGTGCTGCTGGGGCTGTTTCTCCTCCTGCTGCTTCTGGGCAACGTCATTTTGGGTATATTCTGCCCCATCCATCCCCTGTGACCCCAAGGCACTGCCCCAAAGCTCTGACCTCTCTCCAGACTTCCCACAGTTCTGAGACCTCTACAACCTGACTCCCATTATCTCCCACGAAGCCCCCTTCCCAGTCTCCATGCCTATGCACCCTGACCCTAAGGCTTTTCTTTACCCCAGCCCTGCTACAGGGAAAGGCCTACAGAGTGAGAGGTGGGCCAGACCCAGAGCCAGAGCCAGACTCAGGCAGAGACTGGAGTGCAGAGCTGCCTGAACTGCCTGAGCTGTGCTTCTCCCAGGTGCTCAGGGAGGGCGGGAAGGGCCCTCCAGGTGCTCCCAGAGAGTGTGCTGAGGAAGCCTAGCCCTGGTACAAACTGAGACCCACACCCCACACCGTATCTCACCAGGTAATCCGGGAAGGAGGTCACGCAGTGGTGTGGGCTGGGCAGCTGCAAGGCAAACTGGTAGCCATCAAGGCCTTTCCCCTGAGGGCTGTGGCCCAGTTCCGAGCTGAGAGAGCATTGTATGAGCTGCCAGGCCTACGGCATGACCACGTTGTCCGCTTTATCACTGCCAGCAAGGGAGGCCCTGGCCCCCTGCACTGTGGGCCCCTGCTGGTATTGGAACTGCACCCCAAGGTGAGGACCAAGAAATGTACATGTGTGTGTATGCCTGGGAGTGAATGGGTATGGAGGTGTGGGGCGGGGGCGGGGCTGGATGGTGGCTGGGCCTTGTCCACGCTTATTGTTCTGCTTTAAATTTCTTCTCTAAAACATTAAAAATTATTTTTGTTTTTATTGTATAAGAAATACCTGCTAATACTTTTAACTCAGAAAATAGGTAAGGAAAGGGAGAAATCAAAACTGCTTATATTCTGTACCTAAAGGAAAATCATTGTTAAAGAAATAGCCCGATGCATTGCCCTCCAAATTCATTCACATATTCATTCAACAAATATTTATGAATTACGTATCTGGCACTGTGCTAAGTGCTAGGAAAAACATACCCTGCCTTTACAGATTCTATGGAGTAGTAGGGGAGACAAAAGTGGGTCAAGTAAACACAAAAATAAGTGTAAAATACCCAGTGTTTTAGGTGCTGAGACAGCCACGGTACTGTAAGAGAAGAACATACAGATGTGACTTGAGGGGAGGACAGAGAGCAGTAAGACTGAAGAGGAAGAAGCAGGCAGGGGCCAGACTACAATCTGCCTTGGGGACCTAGTAAGGACTTGGACTTCACCAGCACCTACAGCTTCTCCAACTCTGAAATCTTGAATTCTGGAAAGTTCCCTCTTTGACCATGTTCAAAAATCACTGCTTTTTGGGTTTTGTTTGCTTAACTTCCCTGGCACATCGAAAGTGGTCAACATTTGTTGAATGAAGGATTCTTGATTCTTTCCCAAAGATTCCTACTGGCTCCCCAACCGCCGCGCTCCTACCCAACAGCTCTACCCATTGGCCAGCTCTCCCGTGTGTGTGTGCCTGCCACCTAAAGCCTTGTGATTCGTGAGGGGTGGCCTGGCCAAGTCACTCTGCCTCTTCTTTTTCCATCTTTGTCCCAGGTTCTGTGAGGTGGTATAAGGTGGTTAACAGTGAGCAACTGGAGTCAGACTGTTTGGGTTCAAGCTCCACTTCTCTTTCACCAAGTGACTTTCAGCAAATTCAGTTAACTCTCTGTTAAGGTCCTCATCTGTAAAAGAGGAGTGACAAGAGTACCTACCTCCTAGAGTTGTTGTGAGGATTCCAGGAGGCCTGGCCCCCAGGCGGTGCTCAGGACACTTGAACCAGAGTTACTAGTTTTCTGGTCAATAGGCCTGATGCACGTTCTAACTCCTCTATTGCCTGTTATCTTGGCCTAGAAGAGTCAGTGAGCTGGCCCGCTGAAAGATGTCTGTCAGCTCATTTCTGCTCCCTGGGGTGGATCAGCCACCTCCAGCTTTGTATGTCCCCCTCTTCTCTCTGTTTCTCCCCAGGGTTCCCTGTGCCACTACTTGGCCCAGAACACCAGTGACTGGGGAAGTTCCCTGAGGATGGCACTGTCCCTGGCACAGGGCCTGGCATTTCTCCACGAGGAGCGCTGGCAGGATGGTGGGTGAGCTGAGGGCAGGAAGCCATGGGAGTCAGGAGCCACACTACTATGTTTCCAATTCTCCCTTAGTTTGGAGGGGAAGGATTGGGAGAAAAGAGAAAGGAAGGTCCAATCCCCTTCAACCTTGGCTTCTCCCACAGGCCAGTATAAACCAGGTATTGCCCACCGAGATCTGAGCAGCCAAAATGTGCTCATTCGGGAAGACGGGTCATGTGCCATTGGAGACCTGGGCCTTGCCTTGGTGCTACCTGGCCTCACTCAGCCCTCAACCTGGGCCCCTACTCAACCCCAAGGTCCAGCTGCCATCATGGAGGTGAGTACTCTGGATAAGGATGAGGCCTCCAATGATGGTGGTGCTACTGATGAGGATGTGCCCATTGCTGTAGCAACAGTGCAGCAGTGGCTACAGCTTTTGTGACACTGCTGAGTCTGTAGTTGGGGGGATGTTTTGTGGACGAGTGTTGCGGTGAAGTTTGCCAAGGAGATGATTTTTGGTCCTCTATGCCTTTCTCTCCAGGCTGGCACCCAGAGGTATATGGCTCCAGAGCTCTTGGACAAGACTCTGGATCTACAGGACTGGGGCACAGCCCTCCGACGAGCTGATGTTTATTCTCTAGCTCTGCTCCTGTGGGAGATCCTGAGTCGCTGCCCAGATCTGTGGCCTGGTAAGGATGGGTACGACAGTCCCTTTTCTTTCACAGTGCCTCACCCATCCATTTCAGATCCACCTACCTCCTGACCCAGGAAGCTCTGCCCTTCTCCCTCCTGATCTCTCCACAAGGAAGGTACCACTAGCGCTAGCTGACAGGTACCCCTCTGTGCTTTTCCCCAGACAGCAGACCACCACCCTTCCAGCTGGCCTATGAAGCAGAACTGGGTAGCACCCCCACCACCTGTGAGCTGTGGACCTTGGCAGTGGAGGAGAGAAGACGTCCTTACATCCCACCCACCTGGTGCTGCTTTGCCACAGTAAGAGACCACAGGCTGATGTGATGGGGACCTGGAGAGTCTGGACATGGGCTTCCAGGGTTTGTCTGCCGGGACTAGTTCCTCTACTCATATTTCTTCATCTCTTACCACTCCTGGCTCATGTCCAGCTGAAGCTGGGCAAAATTTCTCTGTACCTCAGTTCATCTTCATCCACTCTAAGCCTCACACAGACCATTCCTGATTCTCATACCTTCCCTTTGCTAGGTCTTGCCCACTCTTTCTTTCTTGTCCCCTATCATGAATCAGTCCTCCTTGGCTTTGCTTCTGCCGAGCTCTGTCCCCAAAATGGCTTCTCTACTGGTGCACTGGTATCCAATAATAATTCAATCCAATAATTCCTTGTTCTGTCTTACACGTCTGTGTTCCTGCCATGACCCAATAGAGCCAGTTCTAGGTGTAAAAAAGTGAAGCAGTAGCCTAAAAGTGAAATTTCAAGGGTCCGTATAAGTAGTTCTAACAGGGGAACCCTTTCCTGTTTCTCGGTCTGACATTCCCACTGCATCAGCATTTGCTGGGGTGGGTAGCAGGCCCAGGCACTGTTTGCAGAAGACCCTCTTTGCCTAAAATGAAGGAGAGCAATTTCCCATCAACATGTTAAGCCATCAACCGAAATTAACTCCTCAGATGGAAAAGGGGACACTTCGGAAGGCGCCCAGTGAACCTGTCTTAGGCAACAAGATGCAGCGGGTGGGATTTCAGTGAGGGCAAGAGGAGGAGGATTGCTCCAGAAAAGAATCAGAAGTGCTGAAAACAGTGGTGGAGTGGTGGACAGTGGACACCTTTTAAACTTGGGGACTACTCAGGGGGACACTCAGGATCCTGGATTCAAGCCTGCCTCCCGGTCATTCTTCCCAGGACCCTGGTGGCCTGAGAGAGCTCCTAGAGGACTGTTGGGATGCAGACCCGGAAGCACGGCTGACAGCTGAGTGTGTACAGCAGCGCCTGACCACCCTGGCCTCTCCTCAGGAGGCCCACACCTTCCCAGAGGGCTGTCCAGCAAGCTGCCCACCTCTTTGCCCAGAAGACTGCCTCTCAACTCCTTCCCACTGTCATTCTCCCTTGTAGGCCTCAGATGAGAATCTGCCGCTCCGGTGGTCAGCAAGGCCCTTGTTCCAGGACTCTCAACCTGCCCATTACCATTTCTCATGTGTAAATATGCCGTTTCTGTGCCATCTGTGTGCAAACATACATATGGTGAACGTAGGCTCGTTTGCTCTGCCTCACCACTGCCTTTCCCAGTTGACAAATGCTCGGATCCTTCTGTGGACATCCAGTCCACCACAGTTCTGACCAGTTACAGAGGGCAGGTGTGCACAGGAAGAGATACAGTCAGCTTTCTTGGCTCCACATTCATAGGTCATCCTCCCTTCTTGTGATCCTGGGCTCCTCCTGGCTCTCGTCTTTTCCTTCTCCTCCTTCTCCTTTATTTGGTGGGATTTCATGAAGGGCATTGGGAAAAGAGGGATGAATACAATGAAACTGCTGCTCTGAAGGTACTCAGAGACCCACAACTCACTTTGTCGGGGTCCTGTACAGTGTCTTTGGAGGGGGTGTCCTCTTCTGAAGCTCGAGTGGGAAGACCTCACAGCACAGGATGTTTGAGCTGGGTCTTGAATGAGCAGTTTTCCAGGAGTGTTGGGAGCTACACAGCATTTCTGTTCCAGCAGGGCAAAGTATCACAAGATGCAGCAAGAAACTGCAAGTAACCTGAGTAGCAAAAGTGTGGGGTATGTGACGGGGAGAGAGAAAAGCTGGCATGGAGAACTGTAGGCAAGGCTTTGTGAGCCACAGTGAAAAGTTCCTTCCTTCATTTCCTTTTTGTGTGTTTTCTTTGCTGGCTTTTCTTTCCCACCTGAGACCCCTTTATTACTGGGTGCCCCTCAAGGCCAGTCTCATTACAGGTGCCTGGTTTATAGCTCTAGCTCAGTTTCTAACTATTCAAGCGCCATTGGGCAAATTATTTCCTCTTTCTAGAGCTCAGGTTCCTCATTTGCTAAATAACTGGTTGAGGGCCTTCCTGTCTAACCTCAGAAGAACAATGGGGGAGCCCTGACTTCACTGCAACGGGGCTGCTTCCTGCTCAGTCACCAACTAGCTTTGTGTCCACGGGCAAGTTACTTAACCTTGGGAATCTCAGTTTTATCACGTGTAACGTATGGATAAAAACATTGACCCTGCTTGCAGGGTCAATTCAAGGTCAAAAAACCAAAGATGACAGGTCCTACACAGTACCTGGTAGCAGTTGTGATTAAGCACTGAGATGATCTCTAGCCCCTTTCTAGCTTGGTTGTTCTCGAGTTCCAGGATTAGCCTCTGGAAAGCCCAGGAGATTTCACCTTCCTTCTGACTCAGCTCTCTAGTTCTCTGACATCATCACTTGGATAGGCAGCCACCACCTGAAACTAAACACATCCAAAGCTAAGCTCCCGCCTACCTCTCACCAACAGGTCTGCCTTCCCTTCTTCCCTGACTCTCAAGGACACCAAGTTTCTCTTCGTCCCAGAAGATCCCAATAAGGAAGATGTTTTTGTTTCCTCCCTTGGCCCCAGCTTGTCCCACCCATATCCAGTTCTCAGTTCTTAAGTCCCCCTGAGGTTGTGTGGGCAGGGCTTGCTTCTGGCCACCAACCCCCTTTCCTTCCTCCTGGGTCTGGCAGTCTCAACTACTGAAACTGCCCTTTGGCTGCCTTTTTCCCCAATCTAGATTAAATGCCTCTCTCTAAATAATCTTAAACATAACTTTGCATTGTGTTTTGCCTCTGTGCAACAGCCTATTTGCCTGTTTCATGACAATCTTGTGAGCAGCATTTACAGAGGAGGAAACCAAGGGCTCAGAGAAATTTAGGATCGTGTCTCAGGTCACACAGATCTTAAGTAACAGCAGAGATTTTCATCATTAAAAACAATGTTTACAAAAATGCCATAAATTATTAGAAATGGATAATGTCACATGAAGAGAAAAAATAAATGTGCAGCCCTGGCTAGTGTGGCCCAGTAGATTGAGTGCCGGCTGGCAAGCCAAGACGTTGCTGGTTTGATTCCCAATCTAGGGCATGTGCCTGGGTAGCAGGCCAGGTTCTCCTTTGGGGGTGTGTGAGAGGCAACTGATATTTCTGTTGCACATCAATGTTTATCTCCCTCTCTTTCTCCCTCCCTATCCCTTTCTCTGAAAATAAATAAAATATTTGAAAAATAAAAAGTAAGTCTGCAGTTGGTTGGAATGTTGTCCCATAATCAAAAGGTTGTAAGTTTGATTCCTGGTCAGGGCACATACCTAGATGGTGGATTTGATCCTGGGTCTAGGTATGTCCAGGAAGTAACCAATAGATGCTTCTCTCCCTTTCTCTCTCTCTAAAATACAATGAAAAAAAAAATGTCTTCAGTGAGGATAAAAACACACAAACAAACAAACCATAATCACAAGAAAAACAAACAAAACCCAATAGAGGGATATTTTCCAAAATACCCATCCAGTGCTCCTCAAAATTATCAAGATCATCAAAAACAAAGAAAGCCTGAGAAAGTATCACAGCCAAGAGGAGCCTAAGGAGATATGACAACTAAAAATAATGTAATATTCTAGAATAGAAAAAAGGACTTTGGGTAAAAACTAAAGAAATCTGAATAAAGTTAGTAATCATAAGTCAATATTGGTTCATTAACACACATACCATACTAATGGAAAATGTTAATAATTGGGGAACTGGGTATGGGTAGTATAAAAACTCTGTATCACCTCAATTTTTCTGCAAATCTAAAACTTTTTTTTTAATAATTTTTTTAATATTTTATTTATTTATCTTTAGAGGGGAAGGGAAGGAGAGAGGGAGAGAAACATCAACGTATGGTTGCCTTTCGTGCATCCCCTGCTGGGAACTGGCCTTCAGGGAACTGGTCTGCAACCTAGGCATGTGCCCTGACTGGGAATCGAACCGCGATTGTCTGGTTCACAGGCCCGCGCTCAATCCACTGAGCTACACCAGCCAGGTAAAACTTTTTAAAAAGAGACAATTTATTTATTTTTAGAGAGAGGGGAAGGGAGAGAGAAACATCAGTGTGTGGTTGCCTCTTGTGCGCCCCCTACTGGGGACCTGGTCCGCAACCCAGGTATGTGCCCTGACTGGGAATTGAACTGGCAAACTTTTGATTCCCAGGCCAGTACTCAATCCACTGAGCCACACCAGCCAGGGCTAAATCTAAAACTTAAAAAAAAAAAAAATAGAGCTTATTAAAAAAAAAAAACAACTATGACCATCTCTAAAACTTCAAACAGGCCATAAATATAAGGAACAAAGCGAAGGTTGTGGTAATCATTACAATGTTTACTTGTTGTAATTTCGAGTGGGCATATTGTAATATGCTGTATTGAAGGCATCAGTAACACAGAAGGCAGAAAACCTAGATTATCATCTTGACTCCCCTAACTATGAACAGTTAGAAAAGTTTATTTAATTGTCTCAGGAAGTCAAATAAATAATTCTCTAAGTCATTTTTCAACCCTATAATTCTATGATTCTATGGTAAAATATGATCACTTCACCAAATTTAGTGTTTGCCTAATTGTTATTTCCATGATTAGTGATTCCATGCTCATGGAGAGGCAATATGCACATAAATAAGCTTTTTAGAAACTTGAAAACGTAAGTTTATGAATAGAGGTGAAAAACTGTGTGGTTGAAGACAGAGGGGGTAGACAGTGAGAAGAAGACTGATTTTTTTACCATCTACCTTTATTTTTACGTCTTGAATTTTGAACTATTTGTATGTTTTTTAAAAATATTTTATTTATTTTTAGAGAGATAGGAAGAGAGGGAAAGAGAGAGGGAGAGAAACATCAGTGCGTGGTTACCTCTCATGTGCCCCACACTGGAGACCTGGCCCACAACCCAGGCATATGCCCCAACTGGGCATCCAACCGGTGACCCTTTGCTTCACAATCTGGTATCTATTCCACTGAGCCACACCAGCCAGAGCACTCCCCCCAAATTTAAGTTGTTTCTCAGTATCAGTGGAGGATCCAGGACCCCCTGTGTATACCTAAATCTGAGGATGCTCAAGCCCCATGTATAAAATGGCATAGACCAATGCATTACACTCGGCCCTTCACACCCACAGACTCCCAAATGTGGAGCAAAACAGTACAGATATTGTTCATCAAAAAAATCTGCTTGTAAGTGGGCCTGCATAGTTCAAACTCATGTTGTTCAAGGGTCAACTGTATTTACTCGTTAATTTAAAAAGTCTGTACCTAGTCCTGGCCCGGTGACTGTTGGTTGGAGTATTGTCCCAATACACCAAAGTTGCAAGTTCAGTCTCTGGTCAGGGCACATACAAGAAGCAATCAAGGAATGTATAAATAAGTGGAAAAACAAATCACTGTTCCTCCCTCTGAAAAAAAATCAATTAATTAAATTAAATTAAAGGTCTATACCTAGAAAAAAATTGGTGGAAAAATGCCAAAATGTTAACAATAATGATTCAATTCTGTTTGGGTGATGGGACCTCAAAAGTTGTTTGTTTTTCTTTTTTTTTTTTTTGCATTTTTCAACAACTTTTCTGTAATTCTCATGATTACTTATAGAATTTATGAAGAGCATGTGAACAAATTTACTATTACCAGGAAACATTCTCCCATCCCATCTCATTCTCAACTGATAACTTTGCTTATTTCCATGCAGGAAAAAAAAATCAGGAGCAATCAGCAAGAACAGTCACATATTCCCACACCTAAATCTACCAATGCATTTGCACTTGGACATATAGGCTCTGGTTTCCCTGCTATTACAATAATAACAGTATATATAAGACAACTATGGTGTTGTGAGCCCTTTACATGTATTAATGAGCTAGGTATTATTGTTATCCTTCATTTTACAGATGGGGAAACTGAAACATGGAAGTTTCCTTTGAAGAACCTTGTCCAAGTTTACAAAGGAGGTAGTCTGGCTTCAGAGCTCATTCTCTCAACCAGTTAGTTCCCTGTGCTGAATAAACTGTCCTATCTGAGGTCAGTGCCTCCACATGTAACCTGGGGCTCCTCTCTTCCTAGTCACTTAGGAACTTTGCTCTTTCTTTCTATCTATCTATATATCTATATCTATCTATATCTACATCTATATATAAATAAAACTAATTTTGGCTCTGAGGTTTTTTTAAAAAGATT